TGCAGAGACAGCTGAGCTAGCTGGCACAGGGGATGTGGAGGTGGAGGAAATGCTCACTGTACATGCCTTTCCATATGGGCCTGCACATAAGCTGCACACATCAGGCCTCAGAGTTCCTCACTTGAGAGCCAGGCCCTTGCTGTCTCCCTGTACAATTCCAGGAGAAGACCACACTCAGCCATGCCTCTCATTCACCTTCCCTGCCACGTACATGAACACCAGCGACACAGGGTGCGTCCCCATATGCAGGGATGTGCACTTGCAGCAGCAAAAACAGTGGCACAAATTTGTGCCTCTACTTTTTGCCACAGTGCATGCCCCTGCATGTGCATCTTGGTGTGGGGCAAACTGCCCCACTTCAGGGAAACTGCACTTTCCTCACTGCTCCCAGCATGCTAGAGGAGCTGGGTGCCAACTAAAGGAGGAGTGGAGATGCTCTGGCTGGCAGCCAGAGCATCTCCCTGGAGAACTAAGTCTCCCAGTCTGCTAGCACGTGCTCTTCTTGTGTGCACGCACCATGCTGTTTTTTCCCCCCATGGTGGGTTTTGTTGGGTTTTTTTTTTTTCTGTTTTGTTTTTTATACCAGGATTTCCTGGTAGCAAAATTTTCCCTCAGTGTAAAGCACATTTTAACATTCTGGGTGTGCAGCTTGTGGCACCACAGAGACGTTTGCAGCACCACAAGCTGCATGTGCCTGCCGGTCTGGATGTGGCCTTATCCACTTCCCCATGCTGCCCTCCACCTGCTAGGGAACAGGATGCTCATGCACAGTAAGGAGGTGTTCAGGCACTGCTAGTACCCACCATCCATCAGCACAGTATCTGATCTTCCTCCAATGAAAGTCAATAGCAAAGCCCATGGCAAATTTGGTGGAGTGCCTGGCACTTCTCCCTGTTTGGGACAGGGCCTCTACTTTTGCCAGGGGGAAGGAAGGAGTGGAGAGTTCAGACTGTCATTGTTGCTCGTGCAGGAAAGACATGCACTCCAGGTTTGAGCACTGTGCAGTCACGCCTCGACAGAGTGTGACCCCTTGCATCACGTTGGCAGAGCCGGGTTTTCTGCTGGTGACAACTCTCTAATCCAGGGGCAGGCAATTATTTCAGGTGGAGGGCCACTTACTGAGTTTTGGCAAGCCATCAAGGGCTGCATGACAGGCAGCTAGGGACAGATAAATATTAATTTTCTAAATTTTTTAGGGGCCCCACGGACTGGATAGAATGGCCCGGCAGGCCACGTGTTGCCCACTGCTGCTCTAATCCCTTTCTGCTTTAACTAAGTAAGTTTGATTTACGTCAACTAAGTATGTGATGTAAAACTCTGTACTAATGCCCAGGGGTAAATGAGCACACGGGCTGCAGAGCAAAGGAAACAGGGCCTCCATCTAACAAAAATGTCTGCAAACCTTGCAAGTAGCAGCAGCTGTGGAGGTGGCATTAGGTAGCTGATTGTGTGAAACGTTGATGATTTCTTTTTTTCTGAAAAAACATGGTTTCCTTCCCTCAGTTTAAAAGTGTTTGAAATACTCCAAGAATTTAAAGTGCTGATTTTTGGAGGGGGGGGGGGGTTGCAGGGGGGCAGGGGAGGGGGAATATTTTCCGTATTTTTTACATTCTACTCTCCATTCTGCTGTGCATGGGGAGAGAAAATAACCACAGACTCTCAGTCTGAGCTTTACTCCCCAGTGATGTAACCACTCCCTGATAGACCAGGGGGAGTTAGGCTGGAGGCTAATGTAGGGATGAGCACACCACTAGTTCAGGTGAGCGGACTGATGCAGATAAAATAATAAGCCAGTTAACTCCATATCTAACAATTTAAGCCACATGTTTGCAGATACAGTCATTTTCCTCCTCTAGCCACATCAACCAGGTTTTCACAGGCCAGGACAGAAATGCCATAAGACTGAGGATTTCTACAGAATTTCTATCCCAGAAGAACTGGGAAGATTGAGATTAAAGATGCTGATAGCGAGACAGAAGCTGGGATTGAATGAGAGCAACAACAGTCAGTATGAATGAGCAAAACTGGGACGTGACACTTCCTGCCTTCAAGCTACTGCCTACTTTCCTCTTTAGATCCTCCCTAAACCAATTGGATGGCTGAAATATTTGGAGCCCTTTCTTCCCTTCTGGCTAAAACAAAGGCAGAAGCATGAACACCCCAGCTCCTCCTTCAGGACATGTCTGCAGATTCCACAGGTCCAGTTATCACTTCATTATTTGAGTGCTTGAACTGTGCCCCTCCATCTCCCTGAGCTGCTGCTAATTTCAATGCTATACTGCACCATGGACGCAATGGCGAATCCACTGCCAAGAGGCTGTTCCAGGAGCAGGCAGCTGCCCGTTTTCTTTACCGGTGCTATTTAAAGGCCCTTTCAATTCACCAACAGTCCTCAATATCAACCAGTTCCAGAAAAGGTTCTTCCCCTCCCAGCTGGCCCCTTCCCTGGGGGAAGCCTTACCTGAATCGGAGCATGGATCTAGGTTGCAGGACCTGTACTTGACACGGATGCCTTCACAGTACTTCCCTCCATTGGCAGGCACTGGATTGTTGCATTCGCGCTTGGCCAGCTGGACTCCTCCACCACAGGTCCGAGAGCACTGGCCATAGGGTGACCACTTCCCCCAGTTGCCATCCACCTGCCAGGAAATGGGATGTTAAGAGGAAAGCGCCTTTACCCTGCAGCAATATCAAAACCAGCACGTTGTGCCATATCTGGGCTCTCAGCAGAGTGGACCAGACTCAGTGGGAAAGATCCACAACATACCCAAGACTGACCAGAGGATCTTTCCCTGGGGGAAATATTCTACCCTCTCTGGCTGTTGCACTCAACAAAAGTCATTCGGAAGAAACGCCTACTGGGCACCAGCAACAGCAGCAAAATGGTATTAAGAATAAGCCCTGTTCTCAAACAAAAGTGCAGTCAGTAGAAGTCCCATTCCTGCAGCACAAGAGCAGCAACTAAGACCTGACACCCTTGGCAAAATCTTATTGTTTAATTCCCTTCCTTCTCTACCCCAGTTGCTTTTGATACAGCAACAGCCACGGACACAAATGACCTCAGGGCTTACTAATGCAAAGTAGGGCCCTTCTGTTCTCTATCGCATCTCAGCCTGGCCAGTGAGGCAACTGAGCGTACAAGTGACCTGTCCAAGACCAGGGTGCCCCTTGCAGGGAGACTGGAGTTACCCAATGTGGAAGATAACTGCTGCATGGCACAGCTTTCTAGGGAAACCATCACTTTCTGTGGGTTAAAGGATGATGAAAATCAACACTCCTGGGCCTGGTGCCACATGGTGCAATTAGAAAACATCTCCCTGGGGCTGAGCAAGCTGCTGCAATCAAAGAGGGTTGGTGCCATACCAAGCCTCACTATCTGGCAGGCTCTTTTCCACCACATCTGCAGTGAGCTCTGGGGAGCCAGCTTGCATCAGGGTTCAGTGCAGATAGGTCTACAAGCTCCATATTGCACTCTTCAGCCCAAGCTGCAGCCTTCATGTGAGTTGCCTTGGCCTCCCCACTGACACCCCCCAGCACAGAGCAGGCCGGTACTCACCCTGTACTTACTGATGTTATGCCTCTCGACGCAGGCTCCCTTCATGCAGAACCTTCCCTCTCCACAGCTGGTGCCGTCAGCCCAGGGGAAGTGGCGTGTCTGACAGACGATCTGTCCCCGAGCTTTTCCTGTGCACCACAGCTTGGTGCAATACTGCATGTAGGGGCAGGGCTTGGAGCCGATGCCAAAGGCCAGCTCACACTGCTGGTTGAGGGTGTAGCTGGCCCCAGGGAGGTCCTCTGGCAGAGGGATGGGCTTGGTGGGTTGGTCCAGCAAGCAATCCCCTGTGGGGCAGTGAAAGAAGAGAAATGCTCAGTGAGACACAATCAGAATGACCCGAGTTTCAGTGCTGGGTACTATCGCACCCATCTTCTTGTAGGAGAAAAACAAAACAGTCACAGCTGGTAAATAGAGAGCCACATCACACTGCAGAACCCATGGACCTCAATGCTGCAAGAAGCTGGCAAGTAAAGCTGTGGCTGGATTGATTGATTTATTCATAGCTGAGCAGGAGCCATGTGATAATTTTTTTTTCTAATCAACATTATCTGTAGTTTTCATAACTACCAGCCAGCTTCCACTGGGACAAGTGTCCACTGTGCAAACAGCTCCAATACAACTGGCACTGCCAAGTACCACCATGAGACCAACCAGTGACTGACTACGCTCAAGGTTAATAGCTGAGCTTTTCAAGTCTGTCTAAGGGACTTAGGCACATATCTCCCATCGATATTCTACCCTCCCAATTTCAACCAGTACTCTGCGTTGGCAGGTGAATGGAGCTGTTCAGAGGGGCATTTTGGGCCAGGGGGCTCCAACAGCAGAAGCAGCGAGGCCTTATAGGTCTGCTTTAAAATCAGGTCCAAGGCAAGTAAAGAGTTACAACCCCCCCCCCCCCAAAAAAAAAAAAAAAAAACAAACAACAAAAA